TTTTCCAGCCATGAAGACACAAACATAAGACAACAATTTGTAATGTGATACAAAGACTGAGCGCTTCTGATTAACTGGGACCATCCATGCGCTTTTATTTTGCACTGTTTTGAGAATCTAACTGCTGTTTGTCATTGTAAATCTACAAACTGAGGTGGAGTTTGAAAGAATTGGGCATTCACAAAGCATGGAAGCTATAGTTAGTTAATTGCATTATGGGAAATGTAGGAACCACTGGCCCGTTTTCATACACATGTGCTGGCTTTGTTAATTAACAAGAACAAAGCAGTGAATCAGAGAAAGAAAACGTTATTTTGTGATTGTTTACCAGCAGACATATTCTAAAGCACAAATAAACACGGCAAGATCTCCGCATAACCCTGCAGGAAGGATAAATGGCTGTACCACCTATTCCAGTTGGAGGGGGTCTGGCCTTTGACCCGACTGGCGAAATCCGGTGCATTTAAAGTGGAAACACAAATCCTTGTGGCATGGTTTGACTCAATGGAACTGGAATAAATTCACATTGCATTCAAAGGTGGTGATACGTTTGTATTTGTCAAAGAAATGGACAGCACGTAGAAGATTACAGAACAGATCTATGACAGATTTTATTTTTATTTTTACATGATATACAATATTATATGATACACAGATCTGGAGAGAGATCCATAAACTTGTATACCAGTGGATCTTTCTGGATACAGGCCCTTGTTCTCCACTGTGTATGTTTGGATGTATCAGCCTCTGTGCTTTTATTTTGACCATCGCTGTGACTCTTGTGAGTTCGTCAACTTCATGAAAGTACAATACTAACTCACTAAAGTACCTTTAAAGCACTATTTTTAAATAATTTCTTATTGGTTGGTGTTTTTTTTTGCTTCAGTTTCGAACTGAGAACAAGTCTTTGTTTTACTGTTGCAAGTCAGAGGAGTCTTTTTAAAGTGTTGCCTCTGCTCTCTTGGCTCCCTACTTTCTATTTCTTCGAACGCTTCATAAGCTAGATAGAAGCTTTGCCTGGGACAAGACACAGCACCTCGCATGACTTCCACCTCTGCAGGCCGCAGCCCATCATGCGTGACTGTCCGTCATCATTACTTCCTTGTAAAAACACCAAAGACAGGCCGCGGGGAGGGGGTCGCAGTGGAGGGGCCTAGCTTCCCTTTGAGCGCTGCTTCACCTTCGACCTCTCACAGGGGGAAAGAGATAAACACAAGGGGGGAGACAACTAAGCTTCAGTGACTTTTAATGACAGACTCGGTTTGGGTTAGAATAGCAACACTGTCGTCATGCAGAGACGAGATAAGATTAGGCCTCATCAGGCAAGGGAAAGAGAAGTGGCAGCCTCTGGTGCTCTGTTCTCCTCTCTGAGCACAGATGTGTGTTTTGTGCGTGAGGTGGAATTTGCATTTACATATACACAAGTATGCACTAACATCAGATGTGAACTGCACAGGTCACTCGGTTCAGTTTCCCTGCGAGAAGCAGACATTTATAAGCACAGCTAAATGCTAGTTTGGTACAAAACTCACAAAGAACCAAAATATGTCCTCTCCAATTTTTAAATCTGAGGTCCTGATCAAACTTGTCATCAACATTCATTTTCACATAATCCTCTGTTCATTCCTTCTACACAGTAATCCGTAAAAACAAAACACCTCCGCCTTCATTAAAAGCTATTCACTGGTTACTTTCCATGGGCTTCTTGTCAGTCTCTTCAATTAGGCCAATAAAAACAATGACTGACGACAACAGTGAGGAGGATAGAGGCGGGCAAGGCTTTTTTAGTTGGCGTGGATTTGAGAAGCGCAGTCATGCGGCTGAACACGTAATAAGCCTCCCATTCTTTCCAAAGAAGTACCAACAGTTCAACTGGACTCAAACCCCTGAAAAGGTTTTCCTCCAGTAAGACAAAAAAAAAAAACAAACATGCGCGCCGATTCAGATTCAGGGGGAAAATGCCCTTTTAGTGTGAGAATGGAGGGGAGACGCCTTCACGGACTGCTGACTACGCTTTGGCAAGGGCCTCCGTAGCACTTGGCCGGACAAAAAAAGACCATACAGATAGAGGTACCTCAATGAGCACTCAGTTAATCTGCAAGGTCATTAGGATACTTGAAACACTCATTAGCATCATTCTCATGAACTTACATGGAGGGCTTGTTTCTTTTTTCAGCGTCGGTAAAGAAAAGGAAAATGCAGGATTTGTGGACTTCTGGGAAATATTGGGGTGAGAGTTGGGGAGGCGGGGAGCGTGGGGTTGGCGGAGGCGGAGAGGGGGAGGTTGTTGTGGGACAGTTTGACATTTGGAGTCACCGGGGTCATTCAGTCGTAATGAGGCGCTCGCGGTCGGACCAAAGTAAAAGAGTTTGCCCCAGCGCTCAACTCTCCCTGATTCATCGCCAAGCCAGATGACAGTTTGGTTTGGTGGTAGTCAGACCAATCACACAGCGGCAGGTTGATTCATCTCTAATGGAAAGTAATTAACAAGACAGGGCCTGACGTGTGAGCCTGTGTGTGTCGCTCTGTGTTTCTGCAAGAGTGTGTTGGTCTGTTTTCTACGTATATATGTTTCCTGTCTGTTAGACCTTACAGATGGTAAAACCGGACGAAATAGTGTAAACACTTAATCTTGAAGCACAGACGGCTGCTGGGTCATATTAGGTTGAATGCCGAGCAGCAGCATGTGTGAACTCACTATAAACTTGTAGCATTCCTGTCATTTGGATGTGTTGTCAAGGTTGTCTGACATATATATAAAGTGGTATTAATGTATTTATTTGCCCACTTAGGGGCAGCAGAACAAAGAGTTAGTGAGGTGTGTTAACTTCTGCCAGTTCAGGGAACTTTTATAGTGATTTGAAGCAGCATTATGAACACGTAGGGTTATTAAACTCAACACTGACATATCCTAGGAATTCATTATCTAGAGATTTCAGAACAGATTCAGGACAACACGGATTATAACCAGAGAACAAAGAACACTGACAGTCTCACCACTTCCTCGTAGCCCTGCGCCATCTTGGATTTCAGCGTCCTCGCCATTTAAAAGAGGGTGAATGAATGGATTGGTTTACGCGTGAAGGAGTGTCTGTGACAGGTGGGTGGGTGTGAAGAGCCAAAATATAATAACCTCCCAGGATAATGATAGCTGTACAAACAAGCTTCCACAGTCAGCAGTTATGGTTCTGTATCAGTGGCAACCCATATTCACTTCCCTTTCAGCTTTGGTTTTGTCCTCACCAGCTCTTTAAGGTTTAAATATCCGTCTCATTAGCAGACAATTAAGCCACTATGTTCCCCAGTTAGGTCTGTCTCAGTAGGTTGCATACACACACAGTTTATATGGATACAGAGTTGATCTGAGTGGTGAGACTAAAGCAAAATAACAGCTGAAAGATGCTGCAACATTTCCATTTAATCCAGACAGGTTCACCCAAAATCCCCCAAAAAATGTTTCCCTACGTATTGTGTTCAGCTACTGTTGGCGGATGTAGTTTGGTAGACAGAAAATAGTTCCTACATAAAACTGCTCACAAGATACATTGCTGTTGAGTTTCTCAAATGTATTATTGTGCCTCTTTGTCTGGTTCCATTATATTGGAGAGAAGGCCGACATCTGTATGGCAGATATCTACAAAGCTCGGTGGCTCAAACTGTTCATTTATTGAGCGTAACTTTAAATCATTACTGAAAAAAATAAATAAAACGGATTTGAGGACTCCAGGATATATTTTTCCAGTTCCTGACGTGTAAGAAGAGCACATTTCTCTGCAATGGAACAGAAATCATCGTTAATTTTTGTTAACATAATCAGAAAAGCACAATTTCTCCACTATGTAACTCTTTTTATGTTTATCTTGCATTGGACTTAATGCAAATTAAAACATCTATCATGTTAAGGTAAATGAGGCTTTTAGTGTTAAGTTAAAATAACACAAATATGTTATATTTTCCCTTTTAAGATTCAATGATATATCAATCAATCTGGGTAGACAGAGACAACAATACAAACAAATACAATAGATACTGTGAAGGAGTAATCAAGAGAGTACCGACTGTTTCTGTGCAAAGAGAACTGAACACTTTTCTTTTTGGTCTTTTTCTGTCATACGTGATATGCATCAGTCTTGATGTTGAAAAGGCTTGCGATGGTGCAAAAAAAAAAGTCCAATATTCCTTTTGAATGCATTAAAACTAAAGTAACAAGCCTATTTTGAACCTGTAAGGTAGAAAGAAATTTGTGTGAAAATGTAAAAGTAAAAAATTAATAAGTAAAGAAACTACTTAAGTACAAAGTACCAGTAAGTATCTGTGTTACGTCCCACCTCTGTAAATATGACTATATCGTTTAATTGCATGCATGTTTGAAAGAACCCTGCTGGCACGTCAGCATCTGCTTAAAAAGCTTAACCAAATCCAAGCGGGTTAGCCACTCTATTCTACGCCTAACCCTGACAAGCACACGGAGGTAGACCTGTTGTTTAGTGAAGTTGTCAGTGGCTTTCCCTTCAGGTGTCACCCTTATGATGAAGCACATGTGCGTGACTGCTCCGCACCTTTAGAATAGCTTCGGGCAGTTCCCCCCATCCTCTGTTCCTCTGTTTTCCCCAGAAGTTCACATGCATTGATTCGGAGAGCAAGATAAGCCCCGTAAGTGCTGTAAAAGGCGCGCAGCTCTTCCCGAGGTCCTGTGCATGCTCCCACTAATTACAGACATAAATCAAAGTAATGGCCCCTTTCATTTATCATTCCCGTTTTCCAAGGATGATGTCATTTCCTGATGTGGCTGACTCTCATTTCCTGTGTGCCAAAGAAAAAACTATGCTCTGAATGTGAGAAATGTTGTTGGAATCAGACGTGATCACTACCCTGCCAGGCTGGAACTCAACAATGTAACTGTACCTTTACTGTCTGAGCAAATCATCACCTGCACACACCTTCCCGAGCTCCTCCCTGACCTCCATGCTCACTCACACGCGATGAGCAATTGAGCTGTCAGTCACGCAGGAAGGGAAACTGGTATTATAACTGCACTTGCTTTGCACAGTGAGGAGGTTTTTCTTTCGCGGGGCCACCACGGCGAGGGCTCGACTACCCGACAGGTCCTTCTGCAGCTACACTCACCTCACTGCACCTTTGAGGGATTACCTAAAAGGCTCGGCATCCAAAACGCAAACATGTGTAGGTTTAAGGGCTGTATTTAGGGAGTGTTATACAGAAATAGAGCATGAAACTGCACATATATCTATGAACATTAATGGGTGTGCTCTAATAAAATGGTTCTTTAATGATATGCAGCCTCATGTGGATACAGTATGTGTGATACTGGTTCTCTATAATGGTCTGATTGTTCATATGCAGCTGATAAATAGTGGAAAAAAGACAAATAAATTAATAAATAAACCTGAATTCCATTGCATAGATATTTGTGTTAAAAGGATCACATTGCAGATGGGATTAAAAATAAGATTACTAATGGGGGATATAATAAGGATGTTATTTTAGGTTAATCTTTGACTTGGAAACGTGATTTTATCAGACAAAGCAGCATTTTCCCATCATGTCTTATAACAATAATACGATTTTAAAGGTCTTTGGACGTTAATTAACCTGCAGGAGAAACAAAAAGCAGAGAATTTTGAGCTCTTTTGGATTAAACTGTGGAGAGAATTCATCGTCGCCATTCAAGCACAGAGGATCCTTTAAACCAAAAGATTTAATGAGTAACAAAAAGTTACTTAGCGGTCTTATGACCATGGGATGTTCAGGATCAGCAGGTCGACCACTGACCACACACACACACACACACACACACACACTAACACACACACACATACGAGACACACAGAGAGGAAGTGTGTGTGTATCAGATACATTCATAAAAACGGTTCATGTGTGATCAGTTTGAGTAATTACAGATTTACAGAAATGTTGTTATTAAGTCAGATAATCTGGTTTTATGTGCTGTGTGAAGGCAGGAGGGGGGACAGAGACCTGCTGGGGTTCTGGTCTAATAACTGTGGGTCCTGCCAGTAAAGGAGGCTGGGAGACCAGTTCTTCATTCACTGGCTTGTCTCCACCCTCACTGATCCATTTACTCAACAAGATATCACACAGTGTCACCTTGTGAGAGGTTCATCAGGAGGAAGACAACCGCAGGGTCCTGACTCAGTAAGTGTGCTTTAAAATTCACTTTAAATGTTTTTTATTTATTTTTTTATTTATTAAATCTGATTTAGAATTTAAAAACAGGGTGAAACTTCATTAATAACAATGTGATTTATCTTTTATGAGGATTTTTAGATTTTGGATGCTTTATAATTAAATTGTTGCTCCCAATATTCTTTAAAAGGACATTTATGACTGTTTTCTATATGCAATAATTATTAGGCTGTTAGGCCACAGGAGGAACTGACTTAGACTAACAAAGCCTGATTAAACACTGATATTACTGATGTGTTCTTTTAATAATTCTCTGTACACAAAGCAATAGCAAATATAGTTGGAAAATATTATAATACGACCATGGTAACATTTAAAATGTGTTATTTCTTACAGCTTAAGATAATATTGTAGAAATCTAAATATTATTTTAGATATAATAAGGTCAGTAAATTAGGAAAAATACAGTATTTTCTGTTACAGAGACACGGAGATTTATTTATTGTCAAATTAATTGTATTATTTATTTATCTATTTATTATTTATTTATTTATTTATTATTTATTTTACCGACTTATGAAACATGAAGTGTGGCGGTAGTTTTTGGAGTTTAAAACTAAGAGATGTTGGAGCTCAGAGGAGGGTCAGAGAACCGCTGTCCGCGGTGCTGAACCAGGATCCCCGAATCACATCTCAACGAGACCCGATCGGACCAGACCGGTGCCGGAAGGCCCCCCCGAGAGCAGAGAGAGAGAGGACAGAGATCCAAACATAGAGAGAGCAAACAAACATTAATGAGTGCTCTCTTAAAGGATGTCTGAACCCCCGGAGTCCGGATCCGGAGGCGCTTAAAGGACCCGGTTAAAGGATGAGAACCATCCAGTCTGGATCGGATCTCTTCATCTGTCGGCACTGATTCAGCTGTAATGGCGCATTCCCAGTCCTCCTCCTGTCTTTATTACTGTTATACAGTCAGATACTGAGGGATACACAGGCTGCAGAGCAGGGGCGGACTGGGACAATAATTCAGGTCGGGAATTTGATACCATCTCAGGCCACCACCAACCGATTAACGCAAAACACCAAGAGTGAGTTAGGTTGGTTGCCTACTGATGTAAGAGTGTAAAATAATAAAGCAAAGGCTCCACATGCGCCCACACACAGCTTTTCTCTGTTTCTTTCCCCTACAAAATAAATGTTTATGTTGTGCTGCAATAACCTGAAATCAAATCACATAATTTCTATTCTATTTAATTTACTAGAGAATGAAAATAAAATAGGTTACACCATCATCCACCTAAACTTGAGACCAATCCTATTTTTAATGTAACAGGTACCAGACTAGTTATAAATTTGACCACTGTGTCAACCATAGAACAGACCAGAAGTGAGAGGTACACAGGTGGCGCCCTGCAGATGTGTAGGTTTATTCTCTTCACAAAGTGAAACTAACCTCCTCATTAAGTCGGTCGTGCTGGATAGGCTCTGGTTGTGCGTCTGTTGTCACCACTAGTGTTTAATGTCTGACCTGCTCCCTGTGTGTGTGTGTGTGTGTGTGTGTGTGTGTGTGTGTCTGCAGTGCTGTGACAGAGAGCCTCAGAAAAAGAGAGGAGGGGGTGTGTTTGTGCCCAACGTTGCTGCTCAGTCTGTGTGAGCTTCAGTGAGACAGATACCCTAATGAGCCGCACGACCGATTGTTTCTTTAAAAATCAAGCGCGAACCTTTGGTCCCGACCATCGGCAATCGCCGAGCGGCCAGGCCACCGGGAAATGTTCCGGTGCTCCCGATGGCCAGTCCGCCACGGCTGCAGAGCAGGTCTGGTGCTCAGTGTGTTTGTTAATTAGGAGTAAATTAATGAGGAGAGACGGGGTTCGCCTCCTCCTGGTGGCTCGATGGGAAAACGCACCCACAGCTGTAATTTCATTAAAAGAGCAAAACACAGCGAAACACTGCAGTCAGATAATATCTCTTCATCCCAGCAGACTATTTTCAAATGTAAAAATATAAATATATAAATGTATATAACGGAATAAACATATACAGACACATAAGAGACAAATAATTAACGCCACAAAACAGTTTAATTCTGTTTTTTAATTTGGAATAATTCATTTTTTTTGTTTTTAATAATAAATTAGGGTGTGTTTAAATTAATTAAAATGAAACCTGTCTTAAAGTATCAGTTATTAATGGGTGTTTACATTAAATCTGAGCTGTATTATTTATTCTACAGCTCTGACTGGTGTCAGGTATTAACCTTCCCTCAGGCTCAAACACACGTTGTTACAAGCGCTCTCCAAGTCTGGTTTCCTACCACTGCGGAGGAAGCAATAAAAACACATAGAATTATTATAATAATAATAATAATAATAATAATAATAATAATAATAATAATAATAATAATAATTTATATTATTCGCATTCTTATTGTTGATAATAATAAGTATTGTAGCTTTTATTAAACATTGTTTTAACCATTTTTATGCAAATGTACTCGTAATACTGACAATATACCATAATTATTATTATTATTATTATTATTATTATTATCATCAGAGGAAGAAAGGAAAATAAGTTGTTTAGATAAACTATTAAAGCGTTTTTTGGTATAATTTTAACGTTTTAAGTGGTTTAAAATGGCAAAATCTTTAAGAATAGTCCGAACATACAACTTTATTTGTATTTTATATGTAACAGAGAATCTCAGTTCACTTTTCTCAACTTTGAACAGCTGAGTTTAAACTTTAAACGCTCCCGTTTACAATAACGCCTGTTGCCTGTGAGGGAGGCAGAGAGAGAGAGAGAGAGAGAGAGAGAGAGAGAGAGAGAGAGAGAGAGAGAGAGAGAGAGAGGGAGGTGGGTGGAGGGGGAGGTGATGGTGTGAGGGTGGGGTGACACCCTTTGAAACAAACCTGCCCACTGTAACAAAGCGAGCGCACACGGACTGTGACGGGCCGTGATGCTGCGCTGTTTGAGGATAAATGACTTCAGTTGGTGCTGTGGGGTTTTAAAGCATGAGGCTGCGGACAGAGAGCAGGGAGCTCTCTCACACACACACACACACACACACACACACACACACACACACACACACACACACACACACACACACACCGTGGATGTGTGTGGATGCACAACAGGCTGCACACTCTGATCTGTTTTTGGGAATAATACCTAAATATGTTTTTGATGGTTAAGATGTAGTCTTTTTATTCAGCTCACGGAAAAACACTTTGAGGTTTTCTGATAATTAAAAATAATTTTTGATAAAAAACGTGAAGGCTGCTAGTTTTCTCGATGAACCAAGGACATAAGCAGGTATATATATTTTTGTCGGCACCCTATAATGTGCCACATATTACACACACAGCCTTAAATAATCTGTATTATTATCCCAGTCCATCTGCAGGATCCCCATCATGGATGTGACACTGGAGGGAATTAACCCAGCGACTCCAAGAGCTGTGTTACTGGCATGTGTGACTCTGCTGGTCTCCCTCAACCTGTGGCGGTGGCTCCGGAACCGGTCGATGCGCTGCCCGCCCGGTCCCATCGCCTGGCCGGTCATCGGGAACGCTGCGCAACTTGGCAAATCACCGCACTTGTATTTTACGCGCATGGCGAAGAAATACGGCAAAGTTTTCCAGATTAAACTCGGCTCTCGGACCGTGGTGGTGCTGAACGGGGACTCCATCAGACAGGCGCTGGTCAAGCAGGGACCCGAATTTGCAGGCAGACCGGACTTTACCTCCTTCCAGTACGTCTCCAACGGGGACGGCCTCGCGTTTAACACCTCCACGGACTGGTGGAAGACGCACCGCAAAGTGGCCCAGTCCACCGTCCGGATGTTTTCCAACGGGAACCTGAAGACAAAAAAGACATTTGAGTACCACGTCCTCTGCGAGGTCAGGGAGCTGCTGCAGCTGCTGGTGGAGAAAACGAAGGCGCAGCAGTATTTCCAGCCCATGACATATCTGGTGGTGTCCACGGCCAATATAATGAGCGCCCTGTGCTTTGGGAAGAGGTACTCCTATGAGGACGAGGAGTTTCAGCAGGTGGTGGGCAGGAACGACCAGTTCACCCAGACAGTGGGGGCAGGGAGCATGGTGGACGTGATGCCCTGGCTCCAGTACTTCCCAAACCCCATCAAAACCATATTTGACAACTTCAAGAACCTCAACCTGGAGTTTGGCATTTTCATCCGGGATAAAGTTATTGAACACAGGAAAACCATCCAGTCGAGCACCATCAGGGATATGACTGATGCTCTCATTGTGGCTCTGGACCAGCTGAGCGAAAAAACAGGGCTCTCAATGGGGAAGGACTATGTGATCTCCACTGTTGGGGATGTATTTGGAGCAAGCCAAGACACACTGTCAACCGCACTGCAGTGGATCATCCTCATACTTGTCAAGTAAGCAACTTTTCCTCTCATTTTATCTGATCATTTTAATCTCCTAGATAAACGACACCCACAGAGTAAATTACAATGGGAAATGACAGCAGATAATAAATCAGAGTTGGCCTCCATCCTGTTGCTAAAGCTGTACAGACATGAGGAAGTTCAGTAGCATTTGTGTTATGTAACAGTCCAGGGGGGAGCTGAGGCACAGGCAGGTACTGGCAGCATGAGCTGAAACTGCACACCAGTGAGAGTGAGTGCCCAGTCAGCGTTTTACTCCAGCACAATCTTTACACAGATCTTTTACATGAGTTTTTATTCTGGCTTGATTTGTTTAATCCCAGCGATGCATCAGTAGGCTGGCGTCACGCAGCACCTCTTGGTGCAGAAATAGTCATTTTATACTACCACAGCAGTGTGTAACATCATGTTCTCATATGAAATTTCTTTGGTCACTAAACGTCAGGTACAGCCTCCTACAGAGATGGTGGCTCACTCATATCATTAAGCAAAGTTGTAGCTGACATGCATGCACCCCACGTACTGAGGCTGAGTCCTTACAGCATCGTTCTGGGTTTGATTCCAACCTGCAGCATCTCTCTCCCTCCCCCGTTTCCTGTCTGTCTTCACGCTGCAAATAAAAGCATTAACATTATATATAAAGTCATGTAAACTTAGTTCTCACCTGTGAACGTAGGTTTCCTGAGATGCAGACGCGGCTCCAGCAAGAGGTGGACAAGGTGGTGGGCCGCAGCCGACTCCCCTCCCTCGAGGACCAGCCTCAGCTGCCTTTCGTCATGGCCTTCATCTACGAGATGATGCGCTACACGAGCTTCACGCCACTCACCATCCCCCACTCCACCACCACGGACACCACCATCATGGGCTACGACATCCCGAAGAACACAGTCATCTTCATCAACCAGTGGTCCATCAACCACGACCCAGTGCTGTGGTCCCAGCCGGAGACCTTTGACCCCGAGCGGTTCCTGGACCAGAACGGTATGCTGAACAAGGACCTGACCAGCAACGTGCTCATCTTCTCCCTGGGCAAGCGACGCTGCATCGGCGAGGAGCTGTCCAAGCTGCAGCTGTTCCTCTTCTCGGCCCTCATCGCCCACCAGTGCCACATCACCGTGGACCCAGCCAGGCCCCCGACACTGAACTACACATACGGTCTGACTCTGAAACCTCATTCCTTCCACATAGCTCTATCTCTGCGTGAAGATATGAGGCTGCTAGACGAGGCTGCCAAGCAGTCCCCCACGAAGGACTCATAAACAAAAACTCATCAATAAAATCAAAACTGTGATAAGCAAAAAAACAGACTGAAACTCAAAAAGACTTATAAACTATAGCTCATGTTTGTGGGCTGAAAACTATATTTATAAGCTAAACTCTCATCACTGACTCATTCTCAAGTGTGATAGTGCCAGGCAGGAGCAGATGTTGCATCTGTCTCACAGGGAAACGTGGAGTCGTGCGTACACGCCACGTCTCACACACCTGGGACGAATCTCTCTTACAACATCAAACACACTCTGACATACCACTTAGCAATTAGCATCTCCTTTTTGATTCTTTAAAGGCGGAGGGACTGCAGTCAGCTGCACATCACTGGAGATCTGTGGTCACAGGAGGTTTGAAGAGCTGCTGTAACACAGCTTTGTGATTCTGGTGTGAAAGCGGCCAGAGTTTATTGAAAGGTAGAAATCCTGAAGCTTACAGGGACAGCATCCAGTAGCGTTTTCATGCTTTCTATTAACATTGTTGCTGTCAGCTCTTCAGGAATCTCTTAAAGGACCAGTGTGTGGGATTTAGTGACACTGTAGTTGAGCAGATTGTAACTCACTCCCTTCACCCTCCCTTTGCAAGTGCGAGGGAGGAACTGGAGGAGAAACTACGGTGGCTGCGAAACACACAGAAAACCTGAACAATTTTTTGGTTTGTCTGTCCTGGTAGAAAAATGAGGAAGAAAATGCCGGCCTACCAGGCAGCATCTGTAGATAAAAACAGCTCATTCTACAGTAACAAAAACACAACAATGCTTATATTCAGGTGATTATTCACTAATTAAAACATACCTAAGAATATAATACTCAGTTTCTGCCAACAGATCCTCCTAAATGTTACACACTAGACCTTTTATTTTTCCTCACAAGGGCTCAATAACCCTTTCTAATGCAATATCAAACTCATATGTGATACTTAAAGGTAAACGATCAAAACCTGAAGTTATGAGATTTTTATGTGACACCAGAGTCCTGCCTGAAGAGGAGAATAAGCTTATCCATCTAACGCCTGCTAAAATAAAAATGTTCAGTACTAACATGTAGTTTGTGATGTATAGTGTAAGAGCTTAGTTACTCAGGAATAAGGCCTATGATATGCCAATTACTATTTGAATTAGCTGTTAAAAGTAGTCTAATATATTCAGAAACCTACTGTAGAGGAGCACAGACATCAAACAGACCCGCTGCAGGCGTACTGCACTGTCTGTGAACTGCTGTCTGATGCACGCATGAAAAGACGAACACTAGATCAGTGTTATTAGTCACTTTTTATTTTGTGAACCACAAATGTTTTGTTAAAGTTTGAATGTTGTAGAATGCTGCTCCATCCTGTCAATTAATTTCAATGCTCAAGATGCCAGTAACCAAGTGATTCCTTCTTTGTGTCGTTTTTATTCACAGTAATGTTTTTAGAGTTTGTGTTGGGACACTGAGGTATGATTTATTGTTTTTGTCTCAGCATGGGAGACCAATGCACTGATTGTAAAGTCTTGGATTTGAGCATTTGTTGGATTCATGCAGAAGCGATTTGAAAATAACGTAATCCAGGTTAATCTCTAGAATAAAAGACCTCCTAACAGGACCTGGTGAAAGTTTTTTTGTATGTAACAACCCTGATGTACACCTGTCTAAAGACAACGGAGAAGACAGTCCAGGATGGAAGTAAAAGTTTTGTGTTCCCTCAGTGATCCAAATGATAAAATATTAACTTTCACATGCTGGTTTTGTCATATATTTACATACATATCATGTATTACACACACACACACACACACACACACACACACACACACACACACACACACACACATACACTGTGCATGAGAAGAAAATAAAAGGCATTTATCAAAATAAAGAAAAATAGTTTAAAGTAGCTTTTGTCACTGAATAATGAATTAAAACAGTTGATCTGTTCTGAATATACAATATAGTCAACATGATGGGGGTCAAATAAGTCCAAACATTTACACCTCATATGCTTCTTATGTAGAACTAAACATTAATTAAACTTTAATCGCTGTAGAAATACAGATCGACACATACTGGAACTGCAGCTGTAACTGAACCTTCAGGTTGTCCTGATATTATACAGTTCAATAATAAACAGTTAAACTTTAGTCTTTTGCTTTTCACTGATGAAGTTTTCTGTCTGGAACAAGTTAAAGGTGAAATGATGGACAGTGATATAACTTCAATTAATATATAATATATTTGGAACAGGCCTTTTGCCCAGGAAAGATGGAAAATACTATCAGATATTTTAACCAGGATGAACATTATTTTTATAAAAATTAGGCTATCGGATAATAATTATGAATCATTCCTTTGATCATTTGATACTTTGGTGCTCATGGCTTTTGATAAAATTAACTGAATCTAACCGATTAATGGTTTTATACATCCAAAGATCTTCTATAAAATCCAGATCAGGCGTCTGAGACCTGCGTTAATTTGTCAAAGCGTGTAGCTGCACCAGGCTATTAAAGGGGTCCTGTGTTTAACTGGGACCCTGCTTATAAGTGAAGTTTTATGGCATATGCATGATACACACACACACACACGTATTTGTTGAGTTTTGACACCAATGTGCCTCCGTACCCGATGCTGATCAGACAGAGCTGAGTAACATCATTTCATACAGGCTCCCTGTGAACTCCTGCAGTGAACTCTTGGCATCATGCCATGTCAGGTGGGAACAAAAGGGAAGTGTTTGGGAGATCCCTTTCCCTGTGCGGCGTTTTATCTCGGCCTGCCAGAACATCCTGTACTTGCAGGCCAGCCAGCCGGCCAACTTTTGTGAGTGCGTGACAAATTCAGATAAAACTACAGATGATTACTGATACGACTCCCTCCGTGCACCGTTCGCCCTTTTTTTGCTGGTGCAGAATTAAATCTGAAGACTAAATAGTGCCAGTGAAGTCATGTGTGGCAACCCTCCAAGCATAATCTTTATGAATCAGAAGGGAAACAATAAGTTTGCTTTTCTGCCTCTCTGAGCTGACAGATTGTCAAAAAAAAAGGCGCAGAGATACTGACAATGTCATGGTTAATATGATTCAGTGGGATAATGACTTGATAGCAGCCTTCAGGGGTTATTGCTTTTGTTGTGATTCCCTCCTTGCATTACAGGAAGCTGCAGAATGAAGCAAAATATTCCTAATAGAGGCTTCAGTGCAACCACAGGACTGTTTGCAAATCATGGAAACACAAAGGAGACATCGTGAATAATCTGAGGTATACATGCTGATCAGAAGTGAAGATGACAGCACGGGTAAAGCAGGTGTACGTGAGTGTGGCAGATGTAAGAAGGGCTGTGGTGGAGTAAGCCCTCTGAGAAAGATGAAATATCGCATGAAGTAGTGGTAAGACACATCCTATGTCATTACAGCTTAGACCTGTCAAGACTGCATTAACAAGATTAGAGTGAATCTCTCTATTTAAGCTGGTATCCTGCATTGGCCGAAGGAGCGCACACACACACACACACACACACACACACAAAGAAGATCCTTCATCTGCCGACTGTGAGTTGTGTAACTTAGAAATAGTTGAGCTCAGACAGTGAATGGAGGGATATGTGGAGATCTGAATGAATGTTAGTAAGACTGTGCAGAGGTGTTGTTCACAGAGGTCAGTGGCTGCTGAGACTGATGGGAACAACAGTGTCAGACCATCTCATGTGTCTGAATATCAAATTACTAAACTAACCAAAACATATGAAATACACAGGAAATGTCTTCAGTTTTAATCAGTTTGCTCAAATATGTCTAACAAGCATTCAGCTGAGCATGAGCATGATGTCCTATTCTGAACTTCTGAACTATATTATTATAAACCTAAAACTAATATTGAAACTAATAAAACATAAACCAAAACTAAATAATAAAGAATAAACTGAAACGAGCAAACCCGCTCTGGAAACTGAAAATGAACCGAAAACAAGAGTTAAAAACAAAATAAAACTATAAAACAACTCAAACTCGTACATTAGAGTAATCCTGTATGCACACCTGCATTTACACATTATTGAATTGTAACAGTTAAAATCTAATTTTAATGACTTTGGGTATATATATATATATATATATATATATATATATATATATACACACACACATATACAGAGGTATGTTTACACAATGCAGAGCAGGTGGGAGAAACTGGTCTCTGGTGCCTTAACCCTTCGCAGGGTTAAAGGAACTTCAGTGTTTTGGAAGATACAACTTTTATGTTTTAAAGCTACATACAGCATTATGTTAGCTTATGTTAGCATAAAGGCTTCAGCTCAAAGTTTAAAATTTGCTCTAAAGGATCAATAAACCTCTCCAGTTAACACATTATATCTCATTAGTGTAAGTTAATTTAAATTGCCAGATTTCCAAACCCACACCATTTGTAATTTTTCACATTTTTAAACATTTTAATTAGTGAGGAGTTTGTTGTTTTTTACAGACAGGCACAGGGACGAGCTGTTTCTCCATTTCCAGTCTTTGTCCATCAAACTGGCTGCTGGCCGTAGCTTTATGTAGCTTTATAGATAAGAAAACCCCCACAAAAACAACACACTTGAGTCCAGAAGAGACTAAAACCAAACAGTATTAAAATCAGGAGGAAGAAAATCTGAAAGTTGAAGCCTCTAAATTCTTATGCAACATGCGGTCCTCACGCAGAGACCTACTATATGATGCCTGTGAATAAATATAAAACATCAAAAGTTCCCTTCATATGAAAGAAAAACCCTTAGAGCTGTAAGTGAACTCTACTGCGCAGGAAACAAATAAAATCAGTCGAGGAAAGCTGAAGTTTTCCGGACTGTATAAACAAACACCTGTGCTCTTCTGGGAGGCACAGTTCCTCCATAAAGGGGAGAAGGAGAAGGAGGAGGAGGAGGAGGGGAGAGAAAGAAAGAAAGTTAAAACATGACTAGACCGGTGGGACGTTGGTCTGAATCTGATCCAGTAACAAATTCCCAATTGCTCTGGCACAGAATGTGTTGTCTGGGGAAAAGGGAAGGGATGCCTTCACACTCACTGACAGTCATGCAGGAGCCTGCGTGTTAAATCTTCAGTTGGTTTTTGATTCAACTCACTTTAATTTATGATAAATCTGAACATTTTAATAATACGTTAGAGAGATTACAAAAACGAGGGTATTCCTCATAAAGAGCAATAAAACTAACGAGTGCATAAACAAGCGAGACAAATGACAAACTGACAACTTATACAAGTATTGCACAGATTTAATTATAGACTCCAGTATCATTAACCATTCAGAGCACACTGTCTGTGAAACTGTAGAGTATAATCTCTATGTAGTGTATCAGATTTGACGTAACCGTAAGGAATATTGAATTTACTTTGGCATTTAAAAAAAAAAAAATCAAATACATTCGTACTGCTGAGAAATCTGTAAAGTCACATAATAAATTCTTATTCATAATTCATGTAGTGTAACATAAAATTAAATAAAATCAGGCCCTAAATCTAAAGACTCTTCCAAAACAAATCTCAAGAGTAAACACACCCAAACCCTCGTGGTCTAAAATACGTCACACGGTTGAGTAGAAACATTATCAAGTGTAAAATTATTAGGAATGCATAAGACAGTAATGAGATTAAACATTTAAACGTTACGTCCGTACCAGCTGATCACATTTTAGTGGTATTATTTAACCTGGAATGCAGTCGTATGCACCGTCACATCACGTCGATGCAATGGGGTCGCTCCCATCGCTCCAACCTTCCTCTAACCTGCTCAATGACTCCATTTACATGCACACCAGTGAGGTCGTTTATAAACCCCTCAATCTAAATATGGTGTTTATACGTCAGTGAACTGATGAGGACTGATGATGATGAGCTTTTGTCACTAAATGTATAAAAAGAAAATGTGGAAAGTGAAGACTTAAACCAGGGTGTTTTTTTACATTAACTGAAACCTGAGCAAAACCTTAATTGAGCATTAAGCGGGATAATTAGGTGTTGTATATGTGCAGTGTAACCGGAGCCTAATATAAACATTAAACCCTTTTTTTAACTTCAAGCGTTGGCCTCCGGCTGCCTCTCCTCTTTCTCTGACATCAGAAGAGTTCATAACAAAACAGGCGTCTTACACTTTAAGTGACGCAGATGTAAAAACAGTATAACAGCAATAAAATAAAAGGCAGTCAGAGCTCCGTGTAAATGTAAAAAAAAAAAGGGTTTTCTTTGCTCAAAAGCAGGAGAAACCTGCACGCAGGGTTCTCTAAGAGTGTATTATATCTTCTGTTGTTTATCTGCAGATACACTGGAGTGGCCTTACTGTCACAGGAGCTGAGTGAGGATGAATGACTTTCGATGGACAGATGCCAAAGTCAACAACCACAGTTCATCAGATCTCATAAAACACATCATAAAAGAACAAATTCATCCATGTAATCACGATCATCACCAAGTCTGCATGTCAACGTAGGCAGAGAGCGCCAACCGACGGTGGCGAGGAGAGGGCACGAGGTCGTCCGGTGGTCACGGCATTCCAAGATCTTTGTTTGGGTGCGCCATTGTCTGATGTGCTTTTGTTATTGCCTCTTGAATGTGTAGTGGGAGACACAACAAAATAGAAAAAAAAAAAAACCCAGGACGGAAGAGGAAGGAACAGCAAGTCCCCGTGGGTCACTTTCCCAACAAGTGACAGGTCTTTGTTGTCAAGGAAACTCGGTATCCATGAGACACACTG